CTCGACTCTACTCTACTCTACTCTACTCTACTCTACTCTACTCTGCTCTGCTCTGCTCTGCTCTGCTCTGCTCTACTCTACTCTACTCTACTACTACTACTACTACTACTACTACTACTACTACTCTGCTACTCACCCGAAACCCTGATCAACGCTTTGAAACATACATTTAAGTCCTCCCTTTGCAATATCTTATCGTGAACCTCCATGAACCCAAACCGCTTGAAGCTCCCTATATCCCAAGTTTCAAGCGCTGTCGCCCCGGAGCTTCCCCGGCATTCATCTCACGGCCCACGTCAGGCCCAGATCGTTCCTTCTAAGCGCGGTGCGCGGGGCTCAGGCATCTTGTTTCGAGGCGTCCGGAAGCTTCAGGGCTCAGATGCCTGCGGGTTGTAGGGAATTGCAAGGCGTAGGGTTGTGTGTCACCGTCATTACTTTTGCTCATAAATGTCGGAGGTGGCTGCAAGTGCCAGGCTCGCAAGTGCCGGGCCTTCTGAAAGATCTTGGCAAGGCTCGACTGACTGTCCCAACAGCCAAGGCGCCTCACGATGCTCCATACAAAGCTTATGGAACGCGCTCGGCAACACCGCTGCAGCTCGCGGATGTTGACTGTACAAAGCTGGCAGTGGCGATGCTTCTTGAATGCGACTCAGCAGATGCACCAGCATTCCTTCATCTTTCGTTCATCGGTCCTAGCAGGCCAGCATGTAACTGCCAATCCATTTCACGACGGTGTCCTTTGCTGCTCAGTTGTCCGTTGCCTGTGGATCTAATCACGTGAGCTCACATGTCCGCATGTTCCGAGAGCTCAGCACCGACAACGGACACTTGCGAGCAGGCGAGTGCATTGCATCCTAATTCAGACAGCAACAAGAAGAGCGGGAGACGGTATCTTGTTCCGGAGCAGCTGGACGTAAGGCTGCCTCTGCCAGTGGTTTTTGTCGCTCCTTGCGCTGTTGTTGCTGTCTTTGCCTGCAACAATTCACACAGATCGATTTGCAAACGTCTAGTTTTTCCGCAAAAAAGAGCATGTAGCCAACTCCGCACCATAGCATCGGGGCCCACGCTTTCGACCAGATAGCTTTTCATAGTTGACAGCTCTAGGACTCTAAGACACGAGCAGGAGGTTTGGTGAAGTGATACGTTCATTCTCTGACTGCCGCCTTCTCAAGTGAAAGCTTGGCCAAAGTAGTCAAAGTGCTGACCACCAGACAAACCCACCGGGCCTTGACTCCATATACATATATATATATATGTATGTTTACTTATCTATTTATTTACATATGTATATATATATATACATATATATATATATATATATATATATGCGCCTGCCCTCAATCCTCCTCAGACCCCTCAGTGGAAGGGTCGCCGTTGAAACCGCACGGGGACTTAGCATCTAAACGCAACACTCGTAGCTTGCAGACGCTGAACCCAAAGCCCAAAACCCTAAACCCGAGGTAGGCCGCAGCCTTGAGAAACCGTCAAAAGACCTAAACCGCGGAAGCTTGCAGGTCCCCTTGGTGGGTTTTGAAGATGAAAGTACCCCTTAGAGCATCCACGAAAGCTAAAGCAAAGGCTGCACCCTGAATCCGAGATCCCAGATGTAAAACCAAAAGCCCGTATTCCTAAACCCTAAACCCTTAACCCGAAGCCCTGAACCCTAGAAACCCTAAACATCCCTACCTAAACCCTAAAAGCCCTAAACGCTAAGCCCTAAACCTAAAATCCAAAACACTTTAACCCAAAACCCAAAAAAGGCCCCGAAAAGCTCAGAAGCCGGCCCTAAACCCTAAACCCTAAACCCTAAGCCCTAAACCCTAAGCCCTAAACCTTAAACCCAAAACCGGCCATGAGCGACCAGACCTCCGCCGTCGCATCCTCGGCCTCGGCCCCCATAGGCTTCCCTCGGGCTCGAATTAGGGTTTTTAGGTTTTTAGGTTTTTAGGGTTCTTAGGGTTCTTAGGGTTCTTAGGGTTCTTAGGCTGTTTAGGGTGTTTAGGGTTTTTAGGGTTTTCAGGGTTCTTAGGGTTTTCAGGGTTTCGGGTTTTTAGGGTTTTTAGGGTTTTTAGGGTTTAGGGGTTTTAGGATTTTTGGGTGGAGGGGACCGGGAGGAGGGGGGAAGGGGGGAGAGTAGTTCTTCTTTTGGTTTTGGTGGGGCTTGGAAATCTAGGGTTTGTAGGCAAGGCTTCTTTGGATGGGGAGAGAGAGCACCTTCGACTTATTGGTATAATTAAATACGGTATGATACAATACCATATGAAACGATATGAGATGATCTATATATATATATATATATCATAATATGTTTTGCTGCATCATATGAAATACGTTATGTTGTATCGTACTGTATCGCCTTGCGTCATATCAACGTATGTTGTATCATACTATATTGCATTATATTGCGACTCCAGTCAAAAGTCTGACTCTCTGGCGTTTCTTAAGCATCTTTAGAATTCGCAAGCAAAGCGTGCTGGAAACAGGGAGCCGTGCAAACCTCGCCAGAGCCAGGTGCAGTGTCCCGTGCTGCTCTTCAAGAGGCGGGGATTGAAGGTATTAAAGGGGGTCTTCATAATTACCTATCTTATTTTGGGGGTTCCTTAATATCTTTATGGTATAATATACCCCAAAACCCTATTCTAATTATCCCAACTTAGGTTCCACATTCTTTTAATTCAGAGGCTCTACACATGAAGATCCCCAAGCCTCTGCGTGCCTAAGCCTGCCACCATAGGCCCTGGTGGAACTCAGCGCGACGGCGCGGTCGACGACCCAGGCCACTTTGCCCGGCTTTGCCCTTGCAGTATGTGCGTCGTCATCATCATCACCATCATCATCATCATCTTCATCATCTTCATCTTCATCTTAATCAGCATCTTCATCTTCATTATCAGCATCATCATCATCATCATCAGCATCAGCATCATCATCATCATCAGCAGCAGCATCATCATCACCAGCATCATCATCATCATCATCATCATCATCTTCATCTTCATCTTCATCATGACCTTCATCGTCGTGCACATCGTCGCAGTAGTTATTGTAGTTCTGGTTGCTAGTCGGTTGATGGTTACTGTTGAGTGTTAGTTCTCTTTTCGCTCGTGTGGTATCATGAGAATGTCTAGTCCGACCAACGATCATAGCTGTCATAGCTATTGCTATGCTTCTCGGTGCTGATTTCGTCCGCAGAACTTGCCGGCTTGGTGTCAATGTTGCTGTTGTTTCTGCTGTTGCCGCCCCTGCCACCACCACCACCACCACTGCTGCTGCTGCCGTTGGTGTTGGGCTGCAACCACTGCTGCTGCTACCGCTGCAAGATTCCATTCTCGTCCCACATTGTATTCGCGTAGTCGTATCCGCTTGTAGTCCCTATTACCTATGACAGTTCCCGTATAATATGCCGACTTTTGGTTATGCAAAAGGTGCCAGCATTGACAGCACTGTCAAGCAAGTCCTTCCTAAGCCCCAAGTGCTTTGCTTCTCTTCTCCACCAGCACTACCAAGTCTTGCGGATCCCCCCTAGACCTGTTTCTCGTTTCGAGGATTCTTAAAGGGTTTCTGGTTCAAGTGTCATGCCTAACGAATCGAAGCCCCCAAAAAGCCGCAAGCCAAAAGCTCTCGGAAACCCTTTCGAAGCGCCCCGGGGCGAGGCCTCTGCTCAAGCGTTGAGGCGACTGCGCGGGGCGGCCTGGTCTTTGGGGCGGGGCTTTGAGACGTAGGGGGCCGCATGTTAAGGTGGGTTTCGGGTTTCTTCAGTTAGCTTAAGTAAAGGACTTCCACATTTGATTCTGCACCGGCGGTCTCAGCGGCTTGATTTCAGGTGGGAGAAGGCAGCGGGTCAGCGTTGAAGTTGAGTTTGTACTTGCCACACTACTTAGCAGAGCCTTCCAGTCAGATCATGATAAGGTGTTGGTCGTCGTAGCAGTCTTACGATAGCATCAATGAACGTGCTGCCCCCAAAGCAGCAGGTAATGCCCGGGAGGCTTTGAACTTTGCGCCCGAAGTCCCTAGAACCAGTAGAGTCCTATCGCCTCCCTCAACCCTAAACCCTAAACCCTAAACCCTAAACCTGAACCCCAAGCCAGAGGCCAAGATGCAGAGAAGTCACTGGGTCTCGAGATCAAGATAGAGGACATAGCAGCATGGGGCGGTTTCTTGCCGAGGGTCAGTTCAGGGTTTATAGTATGCAATGTGAGTTACTCTATTCTACTCTACTATACTATACTCTGCTATGCTATGCTATACTATATTATATTATACTTTACTATATTATACTATACTAGACTATACTATACTATACTATAATAGACTATACTATACTATAATAGACTATACTAGACTATAATAGACTATACTAGACTATACTATACTATACTAGACTATACTAGACTAGACTAGACTATACTACTACTATACTATACTACT